TGATAAAATTTATGGCCAAAGGAGTAAGTTTTTTTATCATGATGGGTGAGATGTTATTATATCCCAGTACCTTTTTGCAGTCTAACGTGGTAATTTTTTGAACAAGACGCTAAATGGGAAAGTCATAATGTGTTGTTGTATAATTTTTGGTTGGAACACCACTTTTAGGTAATCAGCAAATGTGTTAGGTTTTTCTTCATCCTTTCGCGTCCATTTTAAGGCAAATTTAGTTAATATTAGTTACGGAGTAAATATCTCCATTCCATTCATGCAAACACTCAACTATCATCTTATCTCAAACATATGTACATATATGTTATAAACTGTAATACTTGAAATTTTACAGCTGAAGTTTAAAATTGGAGATTGACGTCTACGAAAGCTGATTAACGCCATAAACCAAATCACAAATATTAACTCTATAAATTTTTATTTCTCTACTATTTTATAGTTAAAAATAAATTGTTACGAAAAAAATTTATTTTGTTATTTCGTTTCATTTTATTAAGTTAATGTCAGTTCGTACATATTATTAGATTCAAATTTACATAAAATTAAAAAACAATTTTAGATGCTTAAAAAAACAAAAAAGTCTAATCAAAAGGAAAACCATTACGAGGCCCTACCAAAACAAAAATAGTTTACTAAAATGGTATTTCATGTGGTTTAATGAGTATATTCGGATAGTGTGGTGCAAATATTAGCTTTAACCCATTTAACTATTTGCTGTTTAAGGGTTTCATGATTTTATTGTGTAACAAAATGTATCAGAATAACTTTTTATTCTTAAATGTGTTATTCTCAAGTTAAGAATTAGAATAAATAAGTAATTTAATACCTTATTATTATTTAACAGTTTTTAGAAGATGAAAATATATTAGTGGCACGAATGGATTTGGTATATTCAACGCTGTATGCTGTGTGTACAAAGCTGTCGTTATTGTATGAAGATGTCTTTTTACCGAATGAATAATCTATATGTTTTATGAAAAGAAAAATGAATTGTATAATTGAAAAGATACTGTGTTTAGTTCTCAGGGTCTAATACACAAGTTATAGTTATTGAATGTCTTTTGAGAGTATTTTAAAAAGCGTTAACAGTAATGTTAATAGCTCTTGTATGTTCTTAGGTATATGCAAAGTATTTAAATTATTATTTTAGATAAATCTCGTTTATATTTGACTTATATTTTAAACTTTTTCTTACTAAAGCGTTGAGTATTTTCACACCCTACCATGGATTTTGTACAAGTGGCTGAAGATGAAGGAGAGGAAGAAATAGAGTTGCCTTCTGAAGAGGATGGAACTTTATTGCTATCGACGTTACAAGGTCAATTTCCTGGTGCGTGTGGTCTTAAATATAGAAATATAGAAACAAAAGCAATACGAGGAGTCCGTTCTAATGAGGGAAGACTTTTTCCACCATCAAATGAAACTGGTTGGGGAAATGTTATATACTTTTGTGTTTTTCCAAAAGGTTATTATATTTTTATCATAATTATTTGGTAATAACTAATAACAAATATCTGTGTGCAATCTCAATACATAGAAAACAAACGTAAAAGTGATGATAACTTAGAAAATTCAACGGCAAAAACAAAACGCATAGAAACTCGTTTACGTTGTACCGACTTAATTGTTTTAGGATTACCATGGAAATCAACTGAAGACAGCTTGCGCGATTATTTCGAATCATATGGTGAAGTATTGATGGCACAAGTTAAGAAAGACGTTAAGACTGGTCAATCTAAGGGATTTGGTTTCATTAGATTTGGTTCATATGAAGTTCAAATGCGTGTTTTATCTACTAGACATTTAATTGATGGTCGCTGGTGTGAAGTAAAAGTTCCAAATTCTAAAGTAAGTATATATAGTTATATTATTAAATATATTAAATTTTTTTTAATTTCTGTTAAATAGGGAATGTTACACCAAGTACCATGTAAAGTCTTTGTTGGACGTTGTACCGAGGATATAAATGCTGAAGATTTAAGGGATTATTTTTCTAAGTTTGGGGAGGTCACTGATGTATTCATCCCAAAACCATTTCGTGCATTCAGCTTTGTTACATTTTTAGATCCCGATATAGCTCAATCACTATGCGGTGAAGATCACATAATAAAAGGTAAAAAGTTATGACGAATTATAAATATATAAATAAAATTTTTGAATTTAAAAATTACTTTTACAGGAGTTTCCGTCCATGTGTCTAACGCAGCTCCTAAAACTGAACAAAACCGAAATAACAACCAAAATCATAATTATAATTATAATGCTATTAGTAATGCAGCAGGTGGTTTACACCAATTGAATTATCAAAGCGGTAATGTAAATACTGGTAGTAGAAAAAATGCTTACCTACGTAGTCAACCCATGAAGGGATTAGGAGGAGATGGTAATAGTAATCATCATAATATGTCAATGAATGCCAATAACTACCCGATGAGTAGTAATAGCTATAATGGAAGTAGTAATAACGGAAATGGTTTCAATAACCCCAATAATACTAATATGAATGGTTTAATTGGAAGTAATGGTTCTAATAATAGACAAGATCCAAATATGTTGACTTATAATCGTAGTGGTAACTCAAGTTATATGGGTAACAGTCATGGTGGAAATAATGGCGTGTGGAACACGCAATCTAATAGGGGTCCTATTGATATGCCAAATCTGCAGGCACTTGGTATAAATTCACAAGGTCCCAACTCATCAAGTCAGGGTCAGAATATGAATAATCCATTAGGAGTTGGTCTTAACTTAAATTCATTACCAATGAATCCTGCAATAGTAGCAGCTGCATTAAACCAGTGGAGTCTTTTGGGTAATCAGTTGCATAACACGTCACAGGATCAACAGGTAAATAATATTTTCTAGTAATTTATTTCACATTAATAGCTCATTTACATAAAATTTCTAAAATAGCTACAAATATTAATTTAATAAATTTAATCCCTTTTAAAATAACCCAAATTTACAATGTAATTCTTTGAACTATAAAATAAAAACAATAATATGGGAAGCAGAAACCCGCTGTTCAGTGGCGTCAACTAGGATGTTAGAGAATAGAATCCAAAAAAAATCTTTAATTATAAAATTTCCAATATTTTGAAGAAGTCTATTCTTACCATAAATGCTAATAATATATAGGAGTTTAGTTATTAAATTCAAAACAAATTAATTGTTAAAAAAAATGATGAATAACAAATTGATGATATCTCATTAAGTTCTCAAATTACGTTAATTAAAAGCATGATATTTTTAAAGCTATTTTTATTTTGAATTTAAATGTTTTATAATTTATTTCCTGAAAAAAAATCTATATCTATCAAATTAAGTTTCTCTACTTAAAGGATTTTATGTTTTAAATTCTTTCATCATTATTTTACTATGATAATAATAATTTGATTCAATTAATTCTTATGTAGGGTGGAAATTTTTTGTCTTGGATGGCGCAAGCAAATGGACCAAGCCATCAGGGACCTCTTAGCGGCAATAACAGTATAAAAAGTTCTAGTAATTCTAATAATCCTGGCACCAATGATAAACAAAATTCACCACGTAATGATTCTCAACAGGTAATTAAAAAAATTTTTCAAGAAACTAATCATTAAGCTAGCTTTTGTCTATTTAGAATACAAATGTTAGTTCTGGAAATCAAGGCTGGTCTCGTCAGAATAACTCAAGTGTAACTCAAGGACCAGACGTAAAACCTGCCTTCCTTTGAAATTTTCATCATATATTTGTAACTTAATAAATAGTTAACAAAGGATGGTGTTCCCCATTTAGCTTTATTTTCAACATCTTTAAAAATAAATTACTATGAAAAATAAAATAAATTGCAAAAGTAATGCACATATAAAGTTTGTGTACATAATTAACCATTATGTATAATCGAATTTTATTCCTTAAGCGCATTAAATAACTTCAATTGTATTCATTGATTATTATTATGAAAAGTAATAAATATATCAAAAACTTAGTTAAAAAACTAAAAACCGCTAACTAAAAATGTTTATTTTCAAACTATTTTAACAATATGCAAACAGTAAATGTTCCTATAGTATATTACTATTATAATTAAATCAAAATTTATTATAACCATTTCAATCAAAAATAATTTTACATAACAGTTTAAACGATGTATGCAAATGATGTATTGCATTAAATTATTCAAAATGCTTTCATTAGTTGCGAATTCACATCTCATTTATTCAGGGGACCGTAACAGTAATTATTATTCGCATTTTAAAATAAAACTCAAAAAATAATTAAATTTGCTTCATATTCTATATAACAAAAATAATTATTATCATGTGTCTTTTATTTTTCACGCACAAATAACTCTTACAGTCTGCTTTTTATTTTAAAACGCACAAATAACCGTTATTTTTGCCTTAAAAATATAAAAAGTAGGAATAACTTTTATTTTTGCAAACACTATAAGACTGTAAGAGTTATTTGTGCGTGAAAAAAATAAAAGACACATAATAATTATTTTTGATAATTATAATGTAAAGCAAATTTATTATTTTTGGAGTTTTATTTTAAAATGCTTATATATTAAAGGCATGCATAATATTAAGGTGAAAATTGTTAGAATGATAATTATATACTTTAATACGAATTTACATGAGGTTTGATAAGGCTATAACGGTGTTCTTAGTGATCCATTGCCTTGTTATATTACCGTAAAAAACTCAGATCATTTTGAAGGTAAGGTCATGCAACTAGATATTCGATCACATTATCATTGTGGTTCACAATGAATATTTTAGTACACTTTGTTGTTACCATCTCTAACATTCAATTAAATATATATAAAAGGAAGATGTTACTTTGTCATATATGTGACATTTTTAAGCACAAAAAAAGTCGATTACTACTACAATAATATTCAACTATTAACAGCGGTGGATATATAATAATTATCCCCCTATGAACTGTTAAAATACTATATGTAAAAAAATTTTAAATTATTTCAAAATTAATCAATTAAATTTAGTTATACTTTTTATTTTTTCTTATTTTTTATTAAAATAATATAAAAGTAATTATTTATACACTATTTAGGTACATATTTCAAATATTTAAGTTCTTTCATGAGCCACACGGCAAAAGATAGCAATAACAAAGATCCTGATTGATGAGCTGCTGCCCAAGTAACTGGAACGTATGTTAAAAGTGTGGTTATTCCTAAGCTAACTTGAATGCAAGCCATTGCACTTATTGTATTTATTGCCAATTTAGTACGTTTTGGCAGTTTCTTTGTTCTAGCAACAAGCCATAGATAAGAAATTAAACCAAATGTTGTTATTCCCAAAATACGGTGATTAAATTGAACTGTTGTTGGGTTTTCTGTAAAGTTCTTTACTATTGGCTTTAATGCTAATATATCTTTAGGAACCCAATCATCACCCATTTTTGGAAAAGAGTTGTATACTAAGCCAGCATCTAGTCCAGCCACGAAAGCACCTGATATAGCGGTTAAAAAGACTAAACCACATGCAATATGGGCACTTCTTTTTAATGACATAGTTTGAATTGTCGACAGAAGTTTTTCTTTTGGTAATAAATGCGATAAAGAAGTTGATAAAAATGATGCATAAAGAATAAATGCTAGCGCTAGATGTGATGCTAATCGATATTGAGACACTCTTGGAACATCATTGACATCTTGAAATCTGTTTTCTAAGCCAGATTTTACCATATACCAACCCATCAAGCCTTGTAAGCCTATTAGTGTTCCGAATAATAATACTTTCACTTTCATTTGTTTAGAAAAATATCCTTTATACCAAAAATAACCGGCAGGTAGCGTGAAAAATATACCAATTGCTCGACCCCACATTCTATGTATATATTCCATTGCGAAAATGAATTTAAATTCACTTAAACTCATATCTTTATTTTTTCTAAAAAGGTATGAAATTATTAAAAATATAGAAAAAAAAACACAATCATTTTATTACTTACAACTTATATTCTGGAAATTGTTTATATCTTTCAAATTCCATTTGCCACTCCACTTGTGTTCTCGGCATTTTTTCTCCCATAAACTTCCATGTTACCATAGATAATCCAGATTCGGTAAGTCTCGTTACTCCACCTAAAATTACAAGGAAATTGAGAAAAAATATTACTAAATAATTATAATTATATGCAAAGAAGTTAAAACACATTTTATATAGATAGCCTTCAAAGTATTAATTTAAAGAATTAATTCTTGTATATTCTTGACACCAAATAATTCGTCAAAAAAACTTGTAAATCTTTGATTCATCTATGCCCAAATACTTTTAGTAAATGGATGCAAAGAGTTGACTGTGTGATATGGTTTAATGTATTTCACAACTCCAAGGCAGAATTAATACTCCACTTAATTCGAATTCATTTTTAATTCGCTTTATTTTCGTAATAAAATATTGTATATCCGGGACGTAGACTGGTTTGTACCTAGATTCAAAACCTTTGCACTAAAAGTTTTATTATTAAATACACAAGCAATGAGAATTCTAAACATTCAGTTTTGAAGCTATTCAAATATATACGAAACCCAAGGTTTTTTTCTGCTCTATTATTCTATTAATCTAACAAATCTGGAACTGTTAAATGCAGTAATTTTGTTTAAGTTATTGATTTCAAAATTAAATAATTTTAAAGTATATATACCTAACGCAACAGCTCCGAACACCATTCCGCTGCATCCAAGGAGCCATATTCCCACTTTTTTTTGCATATTTGTAAGAGTTTGTGGTGAGACATCTTTTAGCGTTTTCGGTACATTTATACCATCATTCTGCAATATAATTCATTATTAAAATTAAAAAACAGAAATATTTTCTGGGACGCTTAATAGCTTCACTCATCTCAAACAGAATGGCCCTGAATAGAATTGATATGGTGTGTCTTTTCAATTTAAATTGTGCAAACGTTATATACTCTTGTAAATATTATAAAATTTACTTAATTGAAAAAATCAATTGCTACTTGAGCCGCTGTAAATTGTTAATCAACATAAAATTACATTATTTTCAAATTTATCTCTTAAATTCTTCTCTTTATAAATGTATTTATTTATATATTTTAATATAAAGTTGTCTCGTAATAATTTTTCATATAAATAGCTACCAACTAAATCATTGCAATTCATAGTCCATCCGATTAAACTTAAGTATTTTAATTGATTACCTTTGTTTGGAAAACTGAACGTTTATTGATAAAGTTGTTAGGAAACTCTCTGTTTAATCTTATATAATTTTTCCTACCTAAACATTTAATTAATTTTAACATTTTGAAACGCTAAGGTTATTAAAGTATTATTATTTATGTAATATGTATTCATGTATCAAGAACGTGTTTTTCTATTTCGTCATTTAATTAATAAAGTAAGTATAATAAATAACAACACATGTAATCGCCGGCTAAATAGGAATTCAGAAAATAACACAGATTGAAAATAATGCAACAAACTTTAATCAAATAAACGATATAATAATTATTAGTTATCGGGTAGTTATCGAGATGTTCGTAATAGATGTGGACGTAATTCTGATTTTCCGGGCACAATTATTTGACAATCTGCATAATTTGCCGATAAAGTTCATTCTTGAGATATTGTGTCTAAACTTGTAAATTTATCACATTATTTACAGTAATAATGAAATTATACACGCCATCTAGTGCTGACTAGTAGATGCGGTATTTTCATTGAATACACGAACAAGTAACAAGTTGGCATGTTGTTGATGGTTTTTGTCAGGGACCGTAACAGTTAATAAAAAAATAAAAATCATCTTATAGCTGTTATCATTCGCATTTTAAAATAAAACTCAAAAAATAATAATTAAATTTGCCTTATATTATATTCATTAAAAATGACTCTTACCTTTTATTTCAAAATGTACAAATATCTGTTATTTTTGTCTTATAAATATGGTATAAAAATCAGGAATAATTCTTATTTTTGAAAGCAAATTATATATTGTGTACAAAACCATAAAACTAAATTAAATTTTATTCCGACCCTAAAACAGAAATTTTTTACCTTACGGTGTCAGAAAGGAATAATGTTAACAAATAGATTGAAGAATAAAATATATCTTATAAACGATGCAAACCCACTTTTATTTTTTCACTGACTATAACAAATCAATCAAATAGTTGAAAATGATTAGCCGCTGCAACTTTTGCGAAAATAGTGATATTCTACCTAACGCTCAACAAGACTTTAAACAAGGTCAAAACAAATGATGTAGGCCTTCTGAAAAAATTCAACGAATTTTTTACTAATCCTGAAGAGACTTTTAAGTTTCCGACACTCTCGGCCAGAATAACCTTCTTTTCGCTTATGAGCCATTTGTTTTTTTGCACCTGTTGTTTGAACCTTACTCTTGACTGTGAAGGGTCCAGTAATATAACTCTTATTAAAAAAGATTGGTAGTATATTACCTACTAGATTAGCAGCTAGTTTGATCACCAAGTGTTTCAAATCGCGCAATAAGCGGAAAGTTATCAAAATCCGGTAAATTAGATTAGGTTGACAGGCCGCATGTTAATGTAAATTGTACCGCTTTTATTCGAAAACATTTATTAATAATTTAGCTGCTCTCAAGTTGCTAAGGTAGTCGAGATAACCTAATTATTATTTATTGGTACTCTAGGTGATATTAAGTCTACCTATATGGCTATATCCGCCAGGTTTTTATTGAAATTATTTACTGGGCAATGTAGTCACTTTGTCTATAGTTCTGGACAGACAAATGGAAAGTGATCAATGGATTCTATCAAATAGCAAGGTCACTAAAACTCGAAATATCTCTCATGCCCTCCAAATTATAGTCAATAGATCTTAGTAATTCAACAGACTTTGTTGACGTTGCCATTGCAGAAGACACAACTTATATACCACTATCGCTCAGTACATCGACAAGTGTCGATAATTTCTGTAACTTTCATTGGTGAGATGCTTTTATCATCGTATGAGAAGTAAGCGGAACCCGCAAACATACATGTGACTATCCTTATAGTTCTAATCTTAGTCAAAAGCACTCCTACATCTTTCAAAATGTAATTATCTTAAGAAATATTCTTTACATAGAAATTAATAAGGATATTTGCAGGAGAAGCCGCTAACAATTGCTAGTATCACCCTTTGCTATATCAATCCGAGCTGATATCACCTTATAATACTACGGTTGACCTGAAACACGTTAATATTTTTTAGCGGTTTTAATTTTACCATATGATTTCACGCTACGCTACGATTTTAGTGTCCATAGAGGATACTTGGCTATAATCTCCGGTGGAATAATTTCGACTGTAAAATCGCAAGTATAGCCACCAGCCTACACGTATGTCTAGACCCTGTATTACGTAACTATCTAGTTGGTTGAATATGCAAAGTTGGTGGCATTGTAAGTGATAATATATGTCTAGTTACTTCGAAGGAAATCACTATTGGACAACTATGACGGGCTGTGGTATCCTGGATGATTATTCAAAAAATGAGAGAGAGAGCGGAGTTGGAGCTGTTAAGTATCAAATTCAAACGCCTGAATCGGTATGTCTCTTAATACGAACAGTATATTTATGGCCATAAATACTTGGCATGCGAACTCTATACTATATATCTGTTTATCTCCATTTTCAATAGACAATAAAGGCGCTTTTTCGTTATTGATTTCTATCGAGAATGTATTTGCACTATATAAATAAAACTGTTACTTCAAATGAGCTTGATGACACTCTGATGGCACCATCCCTAAACGAAATCTCATCTGTCACCAAATATGTGCCAATTGTTTGGCTGAAAGCTTTCATTTTCTTTGTCTACAACTTGGTTTGCATTATAAAAAGGTAAAAAGGTTAGCCTTCCTTTCCGCTAACGAAAACATAACGTTTGTTCAATATAGAGAATTAGCGAGATATTACATTCGGACTCCGAAACTGCCGAATGCTTAGATTCTAATACTTTCTGGATCTGTGATCATACAGAATTTGTAGTCTATCGTTTGCTCACTGTAATCATTGTCACTTTATAGCAGAAAAGTGAATTAGAAAAATCTTTGTTTCTGCATTGCTCAATAGAGATATGTACAGCAGTTTAATTAAATGATGCTGAAAGTAATGCACCATAGCTTCAACTTTTGTAATTTTGCAGAAAAATTCAGTTTATAATATATGTACTTATTTCAATATTTTATATCAAGCTTGCAATGACGCGTTGTTTATTCAAAAACTATTAAAATTGTAGTAATTTGCTCCTAAAAGGCGTAAATTTTGACATTTATGACTGAGTAACATTGTTTTATCCAACGAGAGACTGCATGCGAATTTTGTCTTGCGCGTTCCTACATATGTTTTCTCATGCGAACACATCGCATGTTGTGGTTACATTGCATGGAAATTGACAGTATTGTTTTGTTTGTTTTAAGAACAAAATGAATAGTGTAGATCCAATTGCTAAAAGTAGTGCATGTTTTCGAATTTATTTCCATTTATAAACTTAAAATTACGTAAAAATAACACACACTTCTCTATTTCACTATTTACTTCTTCAATTTTGCACGAACGCATGAATTTCAAACAAAATTTTTTGTTTAATCAAATATTCGCATGAGAAAAACAAGCCGTCGCGCGAATATATCTCAGCAACTATAACTAGTCACATATGATTACATACATTTAATTTGTTCGTACGTACACGTAAGATAAAATTCGCATGCAATGTAACTGCAGCCATACAAAGCCTCGTTGTCATGACCAAATTTAAATTAATATTTCTTTTACTCTCAATTTTTAAATTTATTTTGAAAACAAAAACAATTTTAATTTTGACATGTCTATTACTTTTTGCATAACTGCCACTTAGGACCATGTTATGTATCGGGTTATACTGAAACTGAATGTTATGTAGACTGTCACATCAGTATTACTAATTTTTTATTTTTACAATGTTTTGATATTTTTTGGTTGTGCTTACATTAAAAAGGAAATGTAAATATGCTCACTTTCAATTTGCCACCAAAAATAACCAGCAAGAAAAAAAAGCTCATAGAGGCTGTAATATGTTAATGTTAATTTATTATTATATTATATTATAATAATTGTTAACAATACTTACAAATTTATACGACTTTCCTTAAAATTGGAAAGTGTAATAATTATGTTGTTAGCGGTTTATAAAATATAATATGTTGCTTTCTGCCATTTTTTCTTTAAAACGTATTAAAATTGTCGTCATTTGCTCCTAAAAACCGAAAATTCTGAAATTTATTACTAACATTTTATTTTTAATATTTTTTATTGCAATATCTGATTATATGTACACAAGTTTTTTATTTTATAGGTGTATAAAACACTCGTATTCCTTACCTGTATTAAAAATACTTCTATAGTATTCACCCAAACGCATCATACAATTAAAATAAGCCACCTCATTACATTAATCGCATATAAATAAATTAACATCACTAAAGTAATTTATTGCCTAATTCTTAGAAAGTAGTCGTTAATTGTAACGATAAGTTTTAAGAGTCTAGAAAAAATTGTGTGGTTGCTCTAATATTATATGTAATAAGTTTTTTCGTATCAAATAATATCGTATTGATTGAAAATTCAATATTTAAGTTATATCTGTTTGGATACAAAAGTTAGTGTTATAATTATATTATCATATAAGTGGTATTAATGTAAATTTCTTGCTACACCATATT